CAGGGGGTAGTTAGTGTAGGGGCGCAGGCCCCGCAGTGTCACGCTTGCTGAAGATGTCGTCTCCCACTCAGCTCATTGACTGAAACACGAGGTGATGGACATCGCTTAAGCCAGGTGCTTTTTTTCTATTAAACAAAACTGGTACATCATAAATGCACTGTTACCCGATTCTATATAAATAGTCAAAACAGTGGAACTTTTTCAAACTCAAGGATGTTGTATTAAAATTGGTAGAATCACCTACAATATGTTAAGTAAAAGGACACAAATGCAACTAATGTGACAGTTTTTTTGAGCAACTTTTCGCTCTCCAGGACCTTTATCAAGCCGGGTTGATAAAGCTCCTGAAGAGCAAACGTTGCCGCACAAGTTGCAATGGGAACAAGACCTATGTTTTCTTTTTTCATATAGGGCCATTGAAATCTGGTAGCCCAAACTGAGAGACTTCAGCAGTGTCAGCCTAATTTGAGCTTAGACTGACACTTTTGTGTCACCCCAAGCCGGGAGACTTAAAGTTAGGGCAGTGAGGATACCACCAAACATTCCCAGCAAGGGTTCTTCAGACAGGAACTTCATATAGATTCGTTCAAGGGGAGCTGGAGTTAGAAAAAACAAAGTAGTAAAAGTGAGGGTCACGTCATTAGTGGACGGATGATGGGAGGCCTTTCACCAGCTTTATTAAATTGGATAACAAGATATCAGTTAGAAAATTTCACCTTTTGTGTGTGTGTGTGTGTGTGTGGTGTGTGTGTGTGTGTGTGTGTGTGGGGTGTGTGTGTGGGGTGTGTGTGTGTGTGTTGTTTTGTGTGTGTGTGTGTGTGTTTGTATGTGTGTTGTGTGTGTTGTGTGTGTTTTGCTCACCTATTTGTGGTTGCAGAGGTCGATTCATAGCTCCTGGCCCCCCCTCTTCAGTGATTGCTACTAGGCCTCTCTCTCCCTGCCCATGAGTTTTTATCATACCTCGCCTTAAAACTATGTATGGTTCCCGCCTCCACTACGTCACTTTCTAGGCTATTCCACGGCCGGGACTACTCTATGACTGAAGAAATACTTCTTAACATCCCTTTGATTATCTGAGTCTTGAAACTTCCAATTGTGCCTCTTGTGTCTGTCCCATCTCTGGAACCCCCGTCTTTGTCCACCTTGTCTTTTCCCGCGCAGTATTTTATATGTCGTTATCTTGTCTCCCCGGGACCCTCCTGTCCCCCAGTGTCGTCGGGCCCGATTTCCCCCAACCTTTCTTCGTAGGACAATCCCATAGCTCTGGACTAGTTTTGTTGCAAACCTTTGCACTTTCTCTAATTTCTTGACGTACTTGACCAGGTGTGGATTCCAAACTGGTGTTGCATACTCCAGTATGGGCTGAGTAAAAGGTTTCAGAGTCTTGAACGAATCCTTACTGAGGTTCGGAAGCTATCCGTAGGTTGTGTATGGTGTGTGTATCACCCGTTTTACTCACCCAGTTGAGGTTGCGGGGGTCGAGCCGGCTCCTGGCCCCCCCTCTTCATGATCGTATAGGTCACTCTCCTGAGCCCTGAGCTTTTCATACTCTGCTTAAAGCTATGTATGGATCCTGCCTCCACTACATCGTTCCCAAAAATTTCCACTTCTGTATTGTGGTGAAGAAATACTTCCCTAACATCCCGTGATTTATCTGTGTCTTTAGCTTCCCAAATGTTCCCCTTTTGCTGTGTCCAATCTCTGGAACTCCCGTCTTTTTCCCCCTTTTCAATTCCTTAGTATTTTGTATGTCGTTTCATGTCCCCCCCATCTCTCCTGTCCTCAGTGTCTCAGGTTGATTTCCCTTAACTCTCCTCTAGGACATACCTCTTAGCCCTTGGGGCTAGTCTTGTTGCAAAATTTTCATTTCTCTAGTTTCTTTACGTGCTTGGTAGGTGTGGGTTCCAAATGGTGCCGCATCCCCAATATGGGCCTAAGACACGGTGTAAGGTCCGAAGATTCCTTATTAGATGGGGAAATGCTGTTCGAGGTTTGCTGGGCCCCCATATGCTGCGCAGTTTTTTGGGTTGATGTGCGCTTAGGAGTTGTGGTGTTATACTCACCCAAGATCTTTTTTGAGTGAGGTTTTTTAGTCTTCCCCCCAGACTGTACCCCGTCTGCGGCTTCTTTCCCCTTCCCCAATCTTCAGCCTTTGCATTTGGGGGGTTTGAACTCCGGACCCAATTGTGGACCAGGTCTGCGCCTTCCAGACCCCTTTTGTAGTTTCCTGGTCTTCGATCGATGATTTTCTCATAAACTTCAGTCATCTGAAAAACAGGGACCCCTCAAAATTTTTTCCTTCCTCATGTTCACAAATACCGAAACGCACTGGTCCTAGGACTGCCCCCTGGGGCCCCCCTGGTCCAGGTGCCCCCTTGCACCTCGCCACGTACCATGACTCGCTGCTGTCTTCCTGAAAGTTTTCCCTATCCATTGTAGTGCCTTCCTGTTATCCCGTTGGCTTCAGTTTTTGCCCCAATCTTTGTGTGGAACTGTGTAAAAACGCCTTCTTGCAGTAAGAATAGCAATCCCCCCACCCCTCTCTCTTTGTTTACTGCTGTCCCATGTCTAGAACTCCATAGGTTTGTGCCCGGATTTCCTCCCCGAACATGTTGGTGCTGTTAACGAGTCTTTTTTCTAGGTGTTCCCCCACTCTTCTCCCCGTAATTTCTTCAGATTTTGCATATATACTGTCAGTGACCTGGTCTGTAGTTTAATGCTTCATGTCGTTTTTTTTTTTTAAAGTTGGGACTAGTCTTGTTGAAAACCCTTTGCACTTTCTTAGTTTCTTTACGTGCTTGGCTAGGTGTGGGTTCCAAACTGGTGCCGATACTCCCAAAATGGGCCCAAGAACGGTGTAGGGGTGGGTTTTTTTTTTGGGGTCTGTTTGGGGGGCCCCTTTCGGGTTTTTTTTGGGTGCGCTTCAGGAGATGTGGGGTTTTTTTTTTTTTGGTGGGGGGGTTTGGGGGTTTTTGGGGTTTTTTACTCCCGTTTTCCCCAATTTGGGTTTAGGGGGGTAATTGGCCCCGCCCCCTGCTACAGGTCCCCCCCTGTCCGTCTTATTCTCCGCTTAAAAAATGATTTCCTCCTCCCCTCTCGCCAAACCCCACTTTGGCTATCTTTCTGAAAAATACCCAAAACCCTGGTTCTGGGTTTTGGGGGTTTTTTTGGGTGGTTTGGGTTTTTTGGGGGGGTTTTTGGTGTGTTGTTTGGGTTTTTGTTTTGTGTTGGTTTGGGGGGGTTGCTATTGGGAAAATTTTTTTTCCCCCGTTCAACGTTGATTTCCAGGGAAATTTAATTACAAAATTTTTTGTAGTTTTAAGTTTTGGGGATTAAAATTTTTTCCAGGATTTTTTTAAAATTTGGGTTTTTCTTTAACCCCCTTAAAAAAGGTTTCCCAAAAATTTGGGTTTTTAATGATTTTTAAAAATTTAAGTTTTAGTGTTTCTTTAAAAAAAAATAAATTCTTTTTTTTAAAAAAAGAAAAAATTTGCCTGTAAATTTTTTCCCCCCCCAAATTTTTTATTTGGGGTTTTGGGGGAAAATACCCCGGGGCCCTTTTTTACCCAAGGGAGATTTTCCTTTTTTTTTCCAGTTTAAAAAGGGGGGTTTTCCCCCCGGGGGGGGAAGTGGGTTTTTTTTTGGGGTTTTTTTGGTTTGGGGGTGGTGGGTTTTTTGGTGGGGTGTGGAGGTTTTTTTGGGGGGCCCTCCGGTGAGGCTGGGGCATTAGAGGCGTTTGAGGTCCCCCAACTGGTTGCCTATTTTCCCTACCGGGAATTTAATTTTTTACCTTTAAAATTTTTCCGGGTAATGTTCCCCTCTAATTTTTAATTCCTTTTTAGAAAAATCTTTTTTTTGCGTTTGTTTTTTTTTTCTGTCGACGAAAATTTTTTTTTTTTGATTTTGTGGTTTTGGGGTTTTTTTTGTGTGGGGGGTTTTTCCAAACCTTAAAATTTTTTAAAATTAAAAAAATCAAAATTGGGACAAAAAATTAA